GAAGGCCTCAACGTACTCCTCAACATCCCTGACTCGGCCAAGGTTGTGGCTTTTAAGCCTGAGCACCCTGGGCTGTGGTCCATCAAGGTAAGGGTCACGGGGTTGCGGTGGCAGGTGGGAGAGACCAGCTTCACCGAGCTGCAAGCATCTCCCTCCTGCTTGCCCTGGGGAGCCTAGGGCCTTGGAAAGCTGAGGGCTGTGGTGTGGTGGTGCTGTGGGCGTGTCAAGAGAAGTAAAGGGTCAAGGACAGAGGAGGGGCCTTCTGCTTTGCACCAGTGAGAGGAAGTGGAGTGGTTGGGGGTTAGTTAGAGAACGTTTAAGAAGGACTTGAGAAATGACTGCAGTGTTCAGAAATGGGTGACTGAGCTGGCATGACTCCGAACCCTGTCCTGTGAAGAATGTGTAAAAGAAGCAAGGGTAACTTTGAGGGACAGCTCAGAGGGACGGGACTGGCTGGGGGAGCGGGGCGTGCTGTAATCTGCAAGGCGCTGCAGGTCAGGGACTGGAGGCAGGCTCGGACCCTAACTGAGCATTCTGGGATGGGGCAGGCTGCTGCTGTGGAAGGTGCAAGCTCCTGCTAACCTGGCAAACACTTACTGAGCACCTGCTGTGTGCCAAGCACCATGCTAGCTGCTGCAGGTGGAGTGGCAGCACGGACCACCTGCCCTTCAAACTCTGAGCACCTTTGAGCCAAGAGCTGTCATGCTGATGGGGCAGGCAAGACAGGGAGTTAGACATGCAGGGGACAGACAGGGCCTTCAGGGGCTTGGGGAGAGCCGAGAGGCAGAGCACAGCTTCAGGAGTCCTGCTCAGCTTGGGGTTGTGAGCTGGGGCTTCTGCTACTTCATTTGGGGAGCCTTGTGCTGGGCCCCCGGGAACATGCAAGTTGCCCGCGTGTCTGCAAAGGCAGAAGAATTCCAGCTGCTGACGCGGGGCCAGGTCAGGGCAGTTGCCTCCTGCCCTGGAGCTGGGGTGCTGGGGTCTGATACTCTGGTGACGTGGAGCCTGGGCCTGTGCTAGGTCTATAGCAGCGGCCGCCACTCGGTGAGAATCACGGGCATCAGCAGCATCGACTTCCGGGCTGGCTTCTCCACGCAGCCCTCTCTGGACCTCAACCACACCATCGAGTGGCCCTTGCAAGGTACAGTGCTCCTGACACTGCACACGAGGCTGAGCCGCCTCTGAAGAGACGGGCTTGGCTTTGGGACATGGTGGGAGGTCTGGGGACAGGCTCGACTCTGTGTGACCGTGGAATGGGCCCTGCAGAGGCTAAGGCAGGTCGTTCTCCCAGACCCCAGTGAGTTCCCAGGCCAGCGTTCTCTCCTTCAACCCTGGCCCAGGTGACATCATGACATTCACCTTTAGAATATCCTCCCTGCCACCAATGGCCTCCAGGACTCTCATGCTGTCCCCTTTATCACTGACTTCACCTCTTCTTTCTTTTTGTCAAAACGTGTCTGTCTAGTGTCCCACTTCAGTTTTCCAGTGGAAATCAGGCTGGCTCAGTAACAGAGCAGCTGCTAGTGAGCTGGAGCGGCCTGGGAGGATGTGGCAGGTGGAGACATGGGGTCAGTTTTTCCTCTGGAAGTCGCCCACCAGGGCCTGAGGATGTCTGTGTGTCCCATGCTGTTTCACCTGGAGAAGCCTGGGCCCTGGGGCTGCCTGAGCTCCAGGCCAGCGAATACCACTGTTGGTCAGATCAGGGGTCCCAATTTATAGTCTGGAAAATATAGTTCCTCACTATGGGGCCTTTCAGAGGATTTTGCTGAGACCATCTCAGAAGAGAGACTGAGAGGGGCCTCGTCCAGGTTGGGCTGACTCTGGACACTGAATAGTGGCCAAAAATAGTGCAAGCTGGACCCTTAGTTAGGGCTTTCTTTCAAATCTTTATCTTCTCTTGTGTTTGTTATTCTTGTCAGCCCTTATTAGTTTCCCTGCCAGGACCAGTGGTAATGTCTTTAAAGTGGAAAAGGGGCTGCTTACTCATTTTGTGGTTGCTTCACCAATAGCAGCAAGGGGGAGAAGTGGGGAAACTTTGGTCCGGCTCTAAAGCCAGAGAAAAAAGAAATCCTAAATGCAGTGCTAGAGTGGGGACTGAAAACTGACCTATCCCAAGGGCCAGTCTCAAGTAGAAGTGGGCAGAGGAGGTCACCTGTGACTCTCTTGGGTTTCTGATTTTGATAAGGATGTGAGTCAATACTTTTTTTTCCTTAAAGAGAAACAGCAGGGCAATTGCAAATGATAAATAGTGATTGACACTTGGCCTCAGTGCTGGGGACATCACGGAGTGGCAGAGACTGTGGCTAACTCGATAGTAGATGCCTGGGCCACAGGAAGCAGCTGCTGCATGGCATTGGCTGATTGTTGCAACGTGGGAAGGGGGCCCAGCATTGACACGCTTCATTTTTCAATCAAATCTGGACTTCTAGATTTTTACATGCCCTTTCCAGATTGTTCAGTGTTTCTTCAAAAATTTTAAGGCATTTCACGGACCACACCAACCACACCCACAGGTGCCCGGTTTATGGTCTCTGAGAGAGAAAAAATTAATAACAGTTCAGAAAGGGAGAGACCTGACCGAAGTTCTCAAGTCCACTAAGGAAATTATGAAACTTGAGTCTAGTTCTCCCTCTTTCAGGATAGTGTGAAAAGCACCACATTTCCATCAAGATAGAAAGGAAAACCAGAGAAAAGCTGAGCATGGGGTGAAGTTGGGCAGGAGTCATAGTGTCCCCAAACCAGGGTGGACACCTCATCTGAGGCCATTCCCCAGAGCCTGATGATGGTCAGCACCAGAGTTAATGGGGCAGGGGTGGAGAGATGTGGCCCTTCCCAGTTCTACCCCATGAGAATCCAAGTCTGCAGAGATGGAGGTGATGCGGCCACTGGGAAGCCATGGGTTGGATGGACAGTGGCATTTCAGCACCACGGACAGCAGCAAGGTCCCTCTCTCCTCATCCCACCCCCAGCATTGGTTGGCACAGGCGTGGGTAGAGAAGGTGGGGGAGTGGGTGAAAGGGCCAAGAAGCCTGGGTCCTGTAGGTGTGGTCTCAGGGCCCCTGCTTGAGGAGGACAGTGGAGCCCGTCACAGATGCCAGCACCTCGTTCCTCACCCTCCCCTCTGCAGGGGTGCCTATCTCCCTGGTGATCAACTCCACGGGCCTGCAGGCACCTGGCCGCCTAGACTCGGTGGAGCTCTCACACAGCTCGGGGCGGCCCCTCCTGACTTTGCCCGTGAGATCCCTCTCCAATGGATCCACCCATCAGCTGTGGGGCGGGCCACCCTTCCTCGCCCCCAAGGAGCGCTTCTACCTCAAGGTGAAAGGCGAGGACCACGAGGGAAATCCCCTCCTTCGTGTCTCTGGAGTTTCTTACAGTGAGGTGGCCCCAGGTAAGTGGTTGGCTCTTTTGTCCCCCAGCTCTCCAGCTCACTCAGAGTCCCATTTCTTCCTGGAAACCCGGAAGGTTAGATTATGAAATGTTTGTTCATTAAGTTTCTATGGACAGCTATTCCGTATAAAGCCTAATGGAAATCAAGATGCTTCAGGTGAGGGCCTCAGCTCAAGGATTTAGAACAGTCAAATACCTGTCCATCTACCCTCTGTCTACCCACCCACCTACCCATTCATCCACCCATCCATCCACCCACCTACACATCCACCTATCCATCCATCCATCCACCTACCCACTCATCCATCCACTCACCTAACATCCATCCATCCATCCATCCACCCACCTACACATCCATCCATCCACCCATCCATCCATCCATCCACCTACCCATTCATCCACCCATCCATCCACCCACCTACACATCCACCTATCCATCCATCCATCCACCTACCCACTCATCCACCCATCCATCCACTCACCTAACATCCATCCATCAATCCATCCACCCACATACACATTCATTCATCCATCCATTCATCCATCCACCCATCCATCCACCCATTCATCCATCCACCCATCCATCCACCCACCTACCCATCCATCCACCCATCTATCCACCCTCCTACCCATCCATCCATCCACCTACCCATTCATCCACCCATCCATCCACTCACCTAACATCCATCCATCAATCCATCCACCCACATACACATTCATTCATCCATCCATTCATCCATCCACCCATCCATCCACCCATTCATCCATCCACCCATCCATCCACCCACCTACCCATCCATCCACCCATCTATCCACCCTCCTACCCATCCATCCATCCACCTACCCATTCATCCACCCATCCATCCACTCACCTAACATCCATCCATCAATCCATCCACCCACATACACATTCATTCATCCATCCATTCATCCATCCACCCATCCATCCACCCATTCATCCATCCACCCATCCATCCACCCACCTACCCATCCATCCACCCATCTATCCACCCTCCTACACATCCATCCATCCACCTACCCACTCATCTACCCATCCATCCACCCACATACACATTCATTCATTCATCCACCCATCCATCCATCCACCTACCCATCCACCCACCTACCCATCCATCCACCCATCTATCCACCCACCTACACATCCATCCATCCACCCATCCATCCACCCACCTACCCATCCATCCACCCATCTATCCACCCACCTACACACCCATCCATCCACCCATCCATCCACCCACCTACCCATCCATCCACCCACCTGCCCATTCATCTGCCCATCCATCCACCCACATACTCATTCATTCATCCATCCACCCATCCATCCACCTACCCATTCATTCATCTACCCTTCCATTATCTATTTATTCAGCCATCCATCCATCTATCTAACATTCATTTTGAGTGTCTGCTATGTGTCAGTCATGGTGCTAGGTACTGTAGACACAGCAGTGGGTGGGGCAGACATGGGTGTTTGCTCTTCCATAGTCATCATCACTGTTATAATCATAATCATGGTACTGCTAGTTCTAGTCAACATTTTGAGCACTTTCCATGTGCTGGTCCTGGGCCAAGCACTTGCCATGCACTAGCTCACTGAATGCTTACAGCAGTTCTGAGTTGTCTCCCCATTTTATAGATGAGGAAACTGAGACTGTCTGCCTCACAGGGTTACTCTGAAGGTTCCATAAGCTGGTGCCCACCATGGGACAGCCCTTGGGTGCTCAGAGGCTGCACTCAGGGCATGAGAGTTGTGGACCATTATGTCATTTTGTCATCCCATCTATGGTCATGCTGTGTTGGTTCCCATATGTGTGGCTTTTTACTGGTGTCCCATGTGTCTCTGAGGTCTCATCATCCAGGTCAGAAGCCCCCAGAGGGCAGGTGGAGCCTTTGGTTTTCCAAGTCTGCCTCTGGTCCTAGCAGGGCATGTCTGGGCTCACTGGCCATGCGGGCTCCTTACTGGGCTTCATCGTCTAACTCCTGCTCGCTAACCCCCTTCCCTGGGAGGTGGCCCGGGAGGAGCTCATAGAGCTGGATGTCATTGACATCCCAGCACTTCTCTGTGGGGCATCTCAGCGAGGAGCTTTCTCCTCTGTCCACTTCAAATAGGGAGTGGGGCGGAGAGGGGGGACCGGCTCCTGAGACTGGCTGTGGTGGCCACGATGCCTGCGGTGGGGTGGAGGAAGTTGAGGAGGTGGGACAGGGCAGGGCTGGGTGGGGGAGCTGGGGACCTCTGCTTTCCAGCCTCCTGGCCTCCACTCCCCTGCTGTGGTTCCTGGGCCTCTCTTCCTTCGGCCTTACAGCTCGGAAGAGGAACTTTCAGGAAGGAATTTCAGCAGGGGCAATAACGGCCTCTGTCTTCTTTCTCCTGTTCTTTCAGATGGATCCAAAAGTTTGCAGTTGAGCTCTGGCTTTTGGTCTCAGCTCTAGATTAAGTTGGGGTGGGGGGAGGGTGTTGTTTGGGTTTTTGCTTCTTACCCGACCTTCTGGGTCTGGGAAGCTGGGATTTTGCCTTAGAGCAGGAGGCTCTGGGTTTGGGTCTGGGGTCCCTGGGCCCTTTCAGCTCATGGAAGCGGGGAGCCCGAGCTGGTCTGGCAGAGGCTTCCAGTGTGTGTGGGTGAGTGGCAGTTGCTTTGCTCAGCTGAGGACGTGGCTGGATGGCCTGACACCCCTTTCCCCTGGGACGTGGCAGGCAGCCTGCAGCATGATGTCACCGCCGCCCACCCCACCCCCAGCTCTGTGCTCGAGGAGGTCTGGCGCATTGTCTCACCCTTGGAGCATCTCTGCCGGCCCCTCTCGCTCTGTTGGGGACAGAGAGAGGGCGGCACAGAGGTTGAGCACACCCCCAGGATCACCCAGCACAGACGGGGGCTTCTCAGACTTCTCTGCTGAAGTAATTCCAATAGCCAAGGAAAGAGATGTGTTGCCCCAAAACCAGGGTTTGATGAGGGGGGCAGTGTGTCTGATGGGGGCCCCAAGGGACTCATCACAAGCTGTGAGATTTCGTTGAAGTCTCTTGTGTTATCTCAAAAATGCGTGTGAATTTTGCATTTACAGCCATGCTCCAAATATGCTTATTTTTAGAGAAAAGGACTTCCCTTTTTTTGGATAAAACCAGCCCTCTGGGCAGATGGGGCAGTTACACAGCCCCACCCACTCCCCTGGGGAGCCCCATCCCAGTCTGGGTAGCTTTTCATCAGATTTCAGAACTGATGAAATACAGTCCCATACAGTTGAGACACTGGTGGGAAGGGGCTGGTCCTTCCCGGCCAGGCTTGAGTTCAACAGCCTTGTCATAAACCACACAGGCGACATGAGCTAAAATTAGTGGAGCTCATGATGCCCAGGCATTATGCCAAGTGTCTTCCACATGCCACTTCTCACCAGCTCCTCCAAACAACATGATGAGACCTCAACATTGTACCACGATTACCCCGATTTTACAGAGGTGGAAACTGAGGCTTAGAGAGGTGAAGTGACCTGCTTTCAGTTCCACCTAACAGTGGAGCCGGGGATTGAATCCCCAGCCTTCTGGCTCCTGGTTCACCCCTGTGGTCTCTGTGCTGCTGGGTGTGGTGAGGGGAGGCTGTGGGGGGAGGCTGGGAGGAATTCTGAAGGCTGGTCCTTGCCCACAGGCGCCCCCCTGGTCAGCATGCCCCCCAGGATCCACGGCTACCTGCACCAGCCCCTGCTCGTCTCCTGCTCTGTGCACAGCGCCCTCCCCTTCCGGCTACAGCTGCAGCGGGATGGAGCCAGGCTGGGCGAGGAGAGGCATTTACAGTGAGTGGCCGATGCTGGCTGGCTGTGCCCAGCCACAGGGCTCCCAGGATCCTGATGCCCTGGAGGGACCACAGAGGAGTGGGTGGCAGGAGAGGGACCTTTGTCCTGGTCATATTGTCCTCTGGGGCAGCCCAGCACAAAGACCTTCAGGGAGGCCAGAGATGGACGACCCCCACCACTGCTAGGTCACCAGCCTGGGAAGGAACCGTGGACTTTTCTCAGCTCCATAGGGTCAGGACAGGAGAGACCTCGAAGATGCTCTCCCTTATGGATGGGAGTCCAGGGCTCAGCAAGGGGAAGGGACTTGCTCAAAGTCACACAGCATGTCATGGAATTTGCATGTCTTTGGCTGCCCGCCTCTTCTTCCCAAGTCTTACAGGATTTGGAATCTCCCCTCTGGGCAGGATTCAGGGGAGTGGAGGCCCCCGAGGGCCAGACGAGGCTGGGGGGACCCTGACTGGGGCCGTGTGGTTGTGAGTCTCCTGCTGTTCTCTGTTTGCAGGGAGTCAGGAAACAGCAGCTGGGAGATCCCGCGGGCCTCCAAGGCCGAGGAAGGCACGTACGAGTGTATGGCGGCCAGCAGGGCTGGCACTGGACGAGCGAAGGCCCAGCTCGTCGTCACAGGTCTGCCCCTGGGGGCCCGTCTGCATACCCCTCCCACGCTCTGCCTAGATTCTACCCCCTAGGGTCACCTCCTAGCCGGTCTCCTTCTGCAGGGTAGTGCACCAGGCAGCCAGCTGCTGGGGCCTCTCCACCATCCAGAGTCTTGCCGCCCCTGCTGACCCCCCGTGTGGGGCTGTCTCCCCCAGGAACGGCCTGTGGGCTTCACTTGGAAGGTTGAGAACTCTGGCCTGGGTCACACCTGCCTGACTGCCTTAATCCCACCCCGACTTCTTGGTTTGGCCTTTGGGGCTTGGCCAGATGCCCGGGCCTTTTCAGAGGTCACTGTCCATCTCTTGGTCCTGACCCCAAATGCTTGCAGGCCCCTGCAAGGATAGCACTGTCGAGCTCAGGAAGGTTGGAAATGCCACAGATCGCCTCAAAATGAAATTGGCTTTATTTTTGAAATTATGAACCTAAGCTGGTTTGTAGAGGGGGAAAAGAACACAGTGAGCATGGAAAGATTAGCCACTCCACGTTCAATTACAAAATACTCCTGCGCCTTGTGGGAAGACTGGAAAATACAAGCGAGCAAAAAAGGTCAAAATAATGTGCAGTTCCTGCTTTCTTCCGTTTTGATTTACTTCCTTTCAGACCTTTTTCTATGTAAGCATTTTTCTAAAAATGGGATAGTATAGATGCTTACACCAACCTGATTTTTTTTTATCACCTAACAATATAGCAAGTCATCATATATGCTTCTATGGCATTAATGAAATTTTACTTTTTATGAATGGTGAGTACAGAAAAGTAGAATGGTTCAAGGAAACTGGTACAGCCATTACTTAGAGCTAACAATTGCTAAGATTTTGCTGTATTTGCTTTTCCTCTTTTTTGCTAACGTATTTTAAACTGAATTGTAGGCAACCTGATATTTCAGTACATATCTCTAAAAAAAGTAGAGTTTTCCTGTATAATAGAGGTCCTGTGATTACACCCAGTAAAATGAACAGTAATGCCTTCACAGTATTTAATTTTGTTCATAGTCATATTTCCCCATTTGCCCCAGAATGTCATTTCCAGTTAGTTTCTATAATAGCGTTTCTGGTGGCTGCAGAGCTCAAACGCTCTTGTTGACCATACATGTGCTTGGGCGTCACTGTCACTGGCTGAACGTCACCGTCACCATCGGATCCAGTTTTTCCCTGCTGGATCTCAGGCCTTCGTCCCTAGGTTAGGCTCTCTGATCTTGTCACTTCTCACAGCTTTTTGCTATCCAGATAGTGGTTTTCTTAGCTCTTCCCTCCTTTGGGGCAGTGGCCTTATTTCTAAATTTTGGCAGCTGCGAATAGCCCTGCTACTGTGCATAGCATAGTTTGAGCACATTACGCTTTCTCTCTTGCTGGTGATTTCCAAGGGTGGAATTATTGGCTCAAAAGCTATGATGAATGGTGTGGGGCTTGTTAGACATCATAGCTGGCTGTCGTTTGGAATGCATGCACATGCCCTGCAGCCCTGGAGGGTGCATGGTGGCAGTGAGGAAAGGAGACCTGCCCTGGGTGCCACCGCCCTCTGGGATGGTGAGCAGACGCTGCTTAGCCGCTCTGCCAGCTGATGTGTCCATAGCAATATGCTATGGACCGACCCGTGCCTCAGGTTGGGGGTGGCACAGGGTCCCAGAGTCTGGACCCCACCAGGGCCTGCAGGGCAGCCCCTCACCCGCCTCAACCCCTCAGTCCCTCCTGTGCTCATGTCCCTGCAGACCCCCCACCGCAGCTGGTCCCTGCCCCCAACGTGACCGTGTCCCTGGGGGAGACTGCCATCCTGTCCTGCCAGGTCCTCGGTGAGGCCCCCTACAACCTCACATGGGTCCGGGACTGGCGAGTCCTGCCGGCTTCGACGGGCCGAGTCACCCAACTGGCCAACCTGTCCCTGGAGGTCAGCGGCGTTGTCTCTAGTGACAGCGGGAGGTACCAGTGTGTGGCCAGCAATGCCAACGGAGTCACAAGGGCATCTGTCTGGCTCCTGGTGCGAGGTGAGGCTCTTCCTGCTGCCCCTAATTCAACATGCACCTCGCATGTACCGCCGAAGCTCATCAGTCCGTCCCGCTGTTGTCTCCGGCAGCAACATCAGCCCTTTCAGTGTTTTCTGTTGGCTGTTTCTAGATGAGCTGCCCCATTAGCTGTGTTTAAGCTTGACAAGTCATTGTCCTGTGAGATTTCAAAGGACCAGGATAGAACCCAAGTTTGGGGCCAATACCAGGGCAGGCCTTGGGGCCCACCTCCAGGTCACTGGAGACGAGGGCCGTCCTCAGTCCTAACAGCTGCCTGACATCTCCTGAAGCCTCTGGGAGGTGCTCAGCTCAGAGCAGAGCTTCAGGGAGCCCGAGGCTCCCAGGCTGGGGAGTGTTGGGAGATCAGCTCCCCATGTGGCCTGCGGATGTGCTTGGGCAGCTGCCTGGTCTACCCCACTTCCCAGGGAAGCCACTCGGGGGGATTTAGGCCATTTGGGGCCCTTGCTTCTCCTCTCTTGCCCACCTGTGGCTGTAGGGAGGGGCAGGAGGTGGGGGTTGGGGGCTGGTACTTGGGACTGCAGGGCTGCTCTGACTGGCTCTTCCCCACCTGTCCACTCTTTGGGCCACAGAGGCCCCACAGGTCAGCATCCACACCAGGTCCCAGCGCTTCTCTCAGGGTGTGGAAGTGAAGGTCACCTGCTCAGCGTCTGGGTACCCCCCACCCCACATTTCCTGGAGCCGTGAGGGCCGTGCCTTGCAAGAGGACAGCAGGTGAGGGCCCAGGACACAGAGCTCTGGAACTGGCAGCAGGTGGACAGGGCCTCCCAGGGGATCTCTCTGGGCCTTGGTCTCACCTGTGAATGGGGGCAGCATTTGCCTTACCTTCCTCTGGGATTACCTGACGCTCAGGAGTGAGACCACTTTGGAAACATAACAATGCCGCAGTGTGGGCTCAGTGCTCAGGAGCTGAGGCTCTGGAATCCAGCAGACCTGCATTTGGATCCTGCCCCTACCAGGCTGTGTGACCTTGGGCAAGTTGTCTGCCTCTCTGAGCTTCATGAATTAGAAAAGACAATGTACATTAGAGTGATTAGAACAGCCTGGCCAGAGCAAGTGGTCATCGTAGAACAGTGGTCACTAGTGATGTTGTTAATTAACTTGTAATTAGTGATGACTGTGGGGCAACCCTTGTGTGACCTGACATGTTTTATGGCACAGCTCCAGAATCCGTGTGGATGCCCAGGGGATTCTGATCATTCAGGGCCTAGCCCCAGAGGATGCTGGGAATTACAGCTGCCAAGCTGCTAATGAGGTTGGCACAGACGAGGAGACAGTCACCCTCTACTATGCAGGTACCTGGGCCATGTGCATCTGCAGGAGAGGGATGTCCCTCCCTCCCATTCACAAACATTTGCTGAGCATCTACTGTGTGTCTGCCACTGGGACACAGTAGTGAGCAATGGTCCCTGTCTGGGGGGAGCTTATGTTCCCATAGTGGACACGGAGCAGGGTGGTGCACGGGAAGGGTGTGCAGGTGGGGGCTGGAGGGAAGTGGCCGCTCTGCTCAGGACTCATCCAGGGTTTCTCCAAAGAAGTGACCGTCACCATAGGGTCACCCTTAGGAACAGTGGTCCAGGCAGTGGGGCTGGGGAGACAGAGGCCCTGAGGTGGGAATAAGCCTGGGCTGCTTGCTCTGGAGGCTGCAGGGAGGCTGGTGTGGATGGAGTGGGGCCAGGGCTGGGATGGGGGAGGGGGGCTCCCTGATCTGTGCAAGCCTCGATCCCCATCTCTCCTCCACACAGACCCACCAGCCATCTCTGCCAAAAATGCCGTGGTGTTGGCTGCTGTCGGGGAGGAGGCTGTGCTGGTGTGTGAGGCATCCGGGGTCCCCCAGCCTCGGGTCATCTGGTATCGAGGTATGATGGGTGGGGACAGGGGCCTGGGGAACTGTCCCACTGGGGCCCTGGAGGACCAGCTTTCCAGAAAGGTCATTGGGGGGCTCTCTGGGTCGGATGTCTAGGAGAGCTGGCTGGTTCCAACAGCCCCCCTCACCCCTGACCCCAGCTGGGTGTTGATAGAAGTGACGCAGGAGTTAGCAGCAAGATTGAGTCAGACCCAGATTTGACATCCAGCTCCCCTGGGTGACCTTGCGCAAGTCACTTGGCATCTCTGAGCCTCAGTTTCCTTATCTGGAAAGTGAAGAAAATCAAAGATTGGTTGTGTGAGGATTAATGAGTCCATATATGTAAAGTGTTTAGACAGGCCTGGTGTGCAGCTGTGCAAGTGCCCTCAGTGACGGCGATGATGTGATTATCTGGAAAATGGGGGTGACAGTACGAGGGTTGTTCTGCGGCTCGGGGTTCATGGATACACCGTAGAGTGCTTCCACAGTGCCTGGCACCGAGCTGGAGCTTGCCTGGCAGGGTGCCGGGGCTGCTGCCTCAGTCTGTCAATGTACTGGGCTCCTGCTCAAGTGTCAGCCAGGGTCCCCAATGAAGCCCCTCCCTCCTAGACGCTCTCCATCTTGTGAGCAATTGTCTGGGACCTCTCCAGGGCCCCACCTTGACTCTGAGACAGGCAAGGCAGGTGGATTTAGCTCAGAGTTTGAGCACTCTGTCCAAGGTCACCCTCCAGTGGGTGGCAGAGGCTTCTATACTCCTTATGGAGTGTTCATGGCAGTGCGTGTTCTGGCTAAGAGCCCCATCAGCCCAGCCCAAGAGCCCCTTTTTAAAGGGGGATCTTACAATGGAATATTACTCAGCCTTAAGAAGGAAGGAAATTCTAACACATGCTACAGTGTGAATGAACCTTGAAGACATTAAGCTAAGAGAAATAAGCCAGACACAAAAGGACAAATATTGTATGATATCACTTAGATGAGGTCCCTAGGGGAGTCGGACTCTTAGAGACAGAAAGTGGGGTGGAGGTTGTCAGGAGCTGGGGGAGGGGAACAGGAGCTGGCGTTTAATGGGGACTGAGTTTCACTTTGGGAGGATGGAAAGTTCTGGAGGTGGACGGTGCTGACGGCTGCACAATAGCGGGACTGTCCTTAGTGCAGCTGACCATGCACTTAAACATGGTTAAGATGGTAAATTTTATGTTATGTATATTTTGCCATCATAAAAAATTAAATTTAATTTCATTTAAAGGGGAGGTCAGAATCAGAGGAGTTACTCAGCCTCAGGAGCCTGGAGGAGATGTCAGGCAGGAAAAATGATGGGGACTTTGGGGTGGATGTCAGGGAGGCAGGCAGGGGTGGGGTCACCTCGGGGCTCCCCAGGCCCCTCCCAGAGCTGATCTGAATCTCATCTGGACCTGGGGACGGGCACCCAGTAGGGAGGCCCAGGCATGGACTCCTTGGGTGTTGAGCCTGCCATGTGGGGGCAGAGGGCTGAGTCCTAGTTCTGATCAACAGAGTCCTCAGGGAAGACCTGAGACTTCCGCAGGACTGGACCAGGGTTCCTGACTTTGAGGGGAAATCTGCTCCCACCCAGCCCCTTCCCAGGCCCCAGGCTTATGGAGCTGCAGGAGCCCAGGGTCCGGAAGGTCTCCATAGTAATGAAGGGCGCTGGCCTGATGCTTCTTCATCTTTGGTCCAGGGGGTCTTGAAATGATTCTCGCCCCTGAGGGCTCCAGCTCTGGGACGCTGCGGATCCCGGCGGCTCAGGAGAGGGATGCTGGCGTCTACACCTGCCGGGCTGTCAATGAGCTGGGTGACGCCTCTGCAGAAATCCATCTGGAGGTTGGACGTGAGTGTACAACTTGTCCCCCACCTGCTCCTACCCCTGCTGCCCGTCCCAGCCCTTTGCCCCCCGACTCTGAGCAGGGAGAGGAGACCTCTACATCACAGACTGCCAGTGTGGGATTGCTCGTGTGGGTCCAGAGCACATGGGGACAAGGGCATCAGGAGGGAGACGGCGTCTGTGTTGTCTCTTGCTGGGTAACAGATTGGCCCAAAACTTTGTGGCTTAAACAATAAGTACTTATTATCTCACAGTCGGAGGGTCAGGAATCCTGGAGCAGTGTAGCTGGGTGATTCTGGTTCAGGGTCTGTTGAGAGATTGTAATCAATACGTTGGCTGGTGCTGCTGTCACCTTAAGGTTTGCTTGACTGGGGCTAGATGGCACATGCCAAGCTCACTCACACGGCTGTTGGCAGGAAGCTTCTGTTCCTCACCATGTGGGCTTCTCTAGAAGGTGTCTCACGACGTAGCTTCCCCAGAGCTTGGGCTGAGATCTGAGTTCCAGTCTCATGCCTGTCACCACCTATGTGCTTTGGGCAAGTCATGGAGCCTCAGTTTTTCCATCTGTAAAATGGGGCTGATCCTACCCCCGCCCTCGCTGGGCTGCTGTGACAGTTCAGTGAGATCGGGCGCGTGATGCCTAGCACAGGCTCTGGCCCACAGCGATGGCTTAATAAACAGGGGCGGGGTGGGGAGGGGGCGTGTGTGATTATCTCCTTTTTGCAGATGGGGGTCTGGATTTTCTGTGGCTGGTGTATGGCCTTGGCTGTGATTTCCACGATGTCCAAGTTCAGGTCTGGGTTTTGGTCACTGGGATTTGCTTGGAGCTGTGGGCACAGCTCCTCGTCAGGGCACAGCTCTTCAGCGCACTGAGTCGGGGCAGATGGGGCTCTGAGAGTTTGCCGCGGCCATGGCAGGAGACAGGTGCTGGGAGTTCTAGGGAAGCTCAGAGAACTGAGAATGTGCTTGTCTGGGCCCGTGGGCCAGGCTGGGCTGGGGCTGGGGCTGGGTGGGGTGACCAAGGAGCTCCCCAGAGAGGGCAGGGCCCTGGCCAGAGTAGGCCCAGTTAGGAGGGTCTGGCTCTGGGGGAGACGGGGCTGTCTCAGGGTTGGATCCTCTCAGGCTTGGGGTGCCCACAGTCTTCTTCATGGGTTTATTCTGTCACTCATTCCTCCAACACAAGGGTACCAAGTGCCTGTGTGCAGGCCCTATGATGGGGACACGGTGGCTGGTGAGACGTGGCATCTGCCCTTGCGTTGCTCATGGGGTCAGACAGACAGAAGACAGGCCATCAGAATGCTCAGGGTACAGAGGTCTGGAGGTGGCATCCTCAGGGGCTGTGGGACCCAGAGGAGGGGGCTAACCCAACACTGGGGGCTGGGAGACCAGAANAGGTGTTGGGAGTTCTAGGGAAGCTCAGAGAACCGAGAATGTGCTTGTCTGGGCCCGTGGGCCAGGCTGGGCTGGGGCTGGGGCTGGATGGGGTGACCAAGGAGCTCCCCAGAGAGGGCAGGGCCCTGGCCAGAGTAGGCCCAGTTAGGAGGGTCTGGCTCTGGGGGAGACGGGGCTGTCTCAGGGTGGGATCCTCCCGGGCTTGGGGTGCCCACAGTCTTCTTCATGGGTTTATTCTGTCACTCATTCCTCCAACACAAGGGTACCAAGTGCCTGTGTGCAGGCCCTATGATGGGGACACGGTGGCTGGTGAGACGTGGCATCTGCCCTTGCGTTGCTCATGGGGTCAGACAGACAGAAGACAGGCCATCAGAATGCTCAGGGTACAGAGGTCTGGAGGTGGCATCCTCAGGGGCTGTGGGACCCAGAGGAGGGGGCTAACCCAACACTGGGGGCTGGGAGACCAGAAGCAATCATTTGGGTGAAGAGCTGGGGAACAGTGTTGCAGGTGAAGGGAAGAGCAGGTGCTAAGCTCCCCGGGACAAGAAGAGGAGCGAGGCAGGGAGTGAGACCGGGAGGGGGTGGGGAGGCGGCCACAGCTGCTTCCTGTTACAGCCTGGGGGAAGCTGTGCGTAGGAGTCTGGGCTTTGTCCTGGGGGTGGTGAGAGGTTTTAAGGAGGAGAGAAATATGCTCAGACTTTTCCTGCTGTGTGGCTGGACTCTTGAGTGGGCTGGGTGTGGAAAGCTAAGGCCTTAGAAGCCTGATAATAACAATAATAAAAAATATGAGCTAACCCTTCTATGGTATTTACTTGTGCTGGGACCGGCTCTAAGCACATTTCCTGGGCTAATTTGTGCAATCCACACAACAACCCTTGGAAATGGGGGCTATCGTTATCCCCTTTGCAGATGGGGATAACGAGGCACAGAGAGGTTAAGTGGCTTGCCTAAGATCACACAGCTGCCGAGTGGCAGAGCTGAGATCTGAGCCAAGGGTCTGGGCCTCTCACCCCTGGCCTGGAGCCTGGTGCTCACCAGCTTAGATGTCGCTTCCTCTCTCTGAGCCTCGGAATCCTCATCGGCAAAACGTTTCTGAGATGTCGTGCAAATCAGAGAGAAAGAAGGCCCGGGATGCAGTGGGCTCTGATGAAGCCACTGCCACTGTTATTGGCCAGAAGTTTCTGGGTGAGCAGAGAGGGTGCTCCGGGGAGGGCCGCACTTGGTATTGTTATGGGCGGTCATTCTCTGCTCCGTGTCTGATTTCTTTTCCACAAAGCCTTGTTTCTTTAGGGTCTGTGCTGATGTGCCCTGTTCCTTTGCCTGTCTGCCTTTGACCTTGAAGCCATTTCCCCATGTCCGAGGCAGGAGGTGGCTGGCACCCCAGCAGAGTTTCTTGGCCACTGGGCCCCGGACGGCCCCTGGCTTTTCAGTCAGGGAAGGGATGGAGAGTGGCCCAGCACCTGTGGGTCTGGAGTGAGCTGGCCTGGCAGTGCCAGTGGGAAATGGAATTTCCTGCCCATCTGGGTGGCAGCTGTGGTCTAGCCTTCCTGGCTAGGCTGGCAGAGGCCAGGAACAGGTGGGCACTGTGCCCACACCCTGCTGTTGAGCTGGGAACTGGCTTCCTGGTGGCATTTGGGGCACAGGATGGAAGGTGCCCGCTTCCTCTACTGACAGCAAGTGCCCACATTGTGGACTAGCCTGCAAGGCACTTTGGCATCACCTTCTGGGCTTGGCATTCCAGGTCCTGCTGCTGATTTGGCTAAGTTACCTGCCTCTCTGAACCTCACTTTCCTCATCTGTGAAATGGGACAATAATCACAGAGCCTTAATGAGATCACGTGCTTTGCTCAGGGCTTGCATGGAATGAGTGATCAGTACACTCAGGCACCCTCCTCCCACCCTCTGTCTGCTGTGCCCAGGCTGGGTGGGCTGACCAGGGCTCGGCCAGGCGGGGTGGCCATCATACATACAGCTGGTGACTGGGCTCTGCGGCAGGCACCTCCTTCCTGAGTTCAGTGCCCTGAGCTGTCTTATTTGCTTGGCTTGATTTCCCTTTAAATGGTTGTTCATCTGTCCCTTTTTCTGTCCTCCCATTTCAGTCCCTGCTTTTTAGTGCCAATCCAGATGCTCCTTGTTGCTGGGGACCAAGCTGGGGAGCAAGGGGGTGTCCTTTCATGGGTGCTAAAGACCCGCCAGCCAGCATGTGGGGGCAGGAGAAGAGCCCGCTGGCTCTGTGGCCTCTGCGGCTGCTGTGGCCAGTGTCGGGGCGGCTTCTCCGTCCGGCACAAACGGCCTGGACACGAGGCTGAGATACTTCTAGGGGTCTAGGACAATGCTCTGACCATAAGTTCTTTTCAAATCAGAAGAAAAAATGAATGATAGTGAGTAGATAAAGGTGAATCCAGCCTGGATTATGTGTGTCTTTGTACCAGCAGGTGTAAAATATAATTTTTAATATTTCTTTGCTGAGTAAAAGGCCCATGAAATTCATTTGTTGGTTAGGGCTGAGGCTGCAGGCTGATGGCAGGCTCTCTATGTGGGGAAAGGGTCTCCTGAATCCTCAGAGAGGGCTGGGAAGGCCCCGCCCCCCACCCGGTTCAGTCACTGTCCTTGGGCTCTCTGGGCCTCTCCCCATGACCCGCTTTGTCCATCTGCCCAGTCTTTGGGCTGACACTCCCTCCCTCCTCCTGGCTAAACTGAGTCAGGGCCGGGGCTCTTCTGGAGCTGGCTCCATCCCCACCAGTCCTTCCCCAGGGCTCCGAGCCTGCACTTGCAGGGAGACAGACGCTGGGCTGCAGGGTCTCCAGGCAATGACGAGGAGCCCTGGAACTTTAAGGTATTAGGACCAGAGTAAAAATAGAATTACCTCTTTCCAGATGGGGAAACTGAGGCCCAGAATGGTGAAGGGGCTCTTCTGTGGGTGCCCAGTGGGGCAGACAGCACAGGGGCCCTGCCCAAGCCCTGGGCCTTCAGGCCAGTGTCCCTTGCCCTGGGGGTGCAATAGAAGGCAGGGAAGTCACCACCTCTGTCACCTAGAATCCATGGGAGCCTTTCCTCCAGGAAAATGCCTGGGGGGGAGCATGGCAGACCAGCTGGAACCTGTGAACCTCACCCCCATTGGCTCCGAAGCCTCATTTGCAAGCAGACATCACCCTTCCCTTTAAACGTTCTGCCCTAGCCAGGCACACCCCTGGGGCTGACTGGCTTCCTCTATCTCTCCCACCCTTCCTCCTTCCTTCCTTCCTTGGGTATTTCCTGAGCACCAACTATGTGCCTGAGGGGACAGTCCTGCCTGTCTATGGCCAGGCCCCTGTATCCCCACAGCTGGCTTGTAGGAGGGTTTCAATAAGTATGAGTCACAAGGAGGAGGTGAGACAGGAGGCAGCTGGCAGTCTGGCCCAGCAGGGCATTTCGGGAGACTGTATGTCACCCTGATGTCTGTGGGAGCCGTGGACAGTGTCTTGGTCAGGTTGGGCTGCCATAACAGAACACCAAACACCGAAGCGTGGGGGCTTGCAAGGCAGGCTTTTATGCCTCAGTTGTGGAGGCTGGATGTGGGAGGTCAGGGTGCCAGCGTGACGGTCCTGCGAGGGCCTCTTCCTGGTGTGCAGCTGGCCGCCTTCTCACATGTCCTCATGTGGCCTTTCCTTGGTGCATGTGGGTGGAGAGAGAGAACAAACTGTCTGGTATTTCTTCTTTTAAGGGCACTAATCTCATCGTGGGGTCCCCACCCTGATGACCTCATCTAAACCTAATTCCTCCCAAAGGTCCCATCTTCAAATGCTGTCATATTGAGGGTTAGGGCTTCAACCTGTGAACTTTGGAGACACACAGTTCAGCCCATAGCTGATGGGGTTTAAGCAGGGGGAGCCAGGATCTGACGTGTGCCCTGGGAAGTCCCTCCCGCCATCACAGTGAGGGTGGGATGGGGTAGGCATGGAGAGGGGAGGGCTGCAAGGGGTCACCTGCCATGACTGAATTAAATGAGA